TTGATATGATTATGAACAATAAATTGTGTTCGAAACGTCATCCAGTATATAATACTGTTTCACTGTGTGATACATCTCATAAACAAACTAATATGAAATTACTTACTACCACAGTGCCCAAGTTTTATACATATATTAGCTGTTGATGAAAGTCTGCAACCTGTTGAAAATTCTTTTTGTAACACGCAGTGCAAATTTCTGACCCATATAGAACGACCAACTTGGCATTGGTGTTGAAAATCAGGATCTTCATTTTATGTTGAGTACAACAGATTTCCAAAATGATTTCATAGTAATGAAGGTCCATCTTGCATTCCCGATTTCGGCTGTGACATTCTCGTCCGATCCACCTGTAGTTGAAACTATGCTTCCCAGATAAGGGAAGGAGGCAACCTCTGTTAAACTCTCCCGTTGATGTTGATTGGTGCTAGTTGTTGTTGTTGCTCATCTTCACCTCGATCTTCTCTGTGTTCACGTGCAATCCTGCTTTGGCTGCCTCTTCAGCCATCATACAACGTACAAGACTCAACAGGTTATTGAATTGAAGACGTGAGTGGTATACAGCCACTCATCTCAATCAAACAGTAGTATATACTTTAAAGAATTTTGTTTGTTTATTGACACATAATCTGACTAGTGGATTAATTGTGTTTTCTGAGCTGGCCGATTTAATCGCGATACTTTCGTTATCATCTATCTAGGCAACATCTTCAGTGCAGGTTTTAGTATAAAATGAACTCAAGTAAATTCTCCGTGAATGATGAAACTGTATCTCCTGGTAGCGACCTCTGTTGTGACTGGTTGTTCATTTACGTCTCTATTGATCATAATTATTGACTTGATATTCGAACTTTCTTGTCGTTTGATTTACTTTTTATCAGCTGGTAAATTTGGTCTATAATAATAATGTGTTTGTTAGTTGCTAATTCATTTGAATATCAGGCTTCAAGGAATTCCTTGGCATTTTTGATGTTTCCTCTATTTAAAATTTCTACATTATCACAATCGAATTGGTGTCCATCATTATCCACATGCAGACTTTAGTTTTTCGATAGCGGCTAGTCGTGAGATCCAGCACGTTAGCAACCATCAACAAAAAAAATTGAGGCATTCGTTTCACTAGCCTATAAAGCTAAGAAAAACCAAGGAATTCACTTTGAATATAACCATGTGGGAACTACGAGTACACATAAAGTATAACATTAGCTCAAACACTCGGGAATTATTATGAGATTTCAAGAATCAAATCAGTGATAATCTTCTCGTTAAACTTCGTGACAGTTTACTACAGAACAAAGACAAATCAAACCGGTCAGTGAAACAGAAATCCCTCTCTATCTTCCCAAAAGTACACAAACTGGAAGTGATCAGAAATAGAAAAATAAAATATCTTATGCAAGAAATGCTATATAGAGACATAATTGAAAACCTTCAGCTTCCTGTGTACTTATTAAATCCAGAAGGTGGCAGTGCCGTAAATCAAACAGTTCACCGGGTGAAAATCACTGATGTGCTTATCGTCGATTACCTTATCTCAATATTTCGCAGCCAATCTTGCATGCACACAATATGAATTATATCTTACACCGATGGTAAAAAAATAAACACCGGTAGTAAGGGTAGGAATTTAAAATCCATTCTATGCGTGAACCAGTTTTTAAAACAACAATAAATCCTATGCGCGCATATCCAAAGGATGATAAGTATTATTAAAATACTCAAAACAGCACTGGATTATTTATTCACCATTATTGACAATCACGTGTTTGCACAATTCTGTAGCCTATCTTAACCACAGAATCTCATGTCTATCTGTGTGAAACAACATACACATAAACTCTGACAATAAAAGGTAGTCACACACACACACACCGTGTTAAACCTTGTTTTACTACTTCCATTAGAAGTACACGCAGGAAAACACAAACAACAAGAATACAATCTTCTTCATCAAACGAACTAAATAAAAGACACTGGAGAAAAGAAGAGAAAAGAACGATGATAGAAAAATACAGAATGTTAAGGTATTTAAGACGACTTGTGAAGAACAAGCAAAAACTGAATGTATGTGCATCACTAGGACAGTTGTGTTTTTTCAAGCTGTCAAATATTACCAGCAAGGCACACAGTTCTCTCATAGAGCAGACTGCCGTCTGTTAGAACGAAAATATGTAGTAGTGGAAATCGGTGTACATAAAAAGAACAGTTGAATTTGATGGAATATTACTTATGTTAGGTAATAAAATTTACACATACAGTTATCTTATTTGATAACACATGTACCTATTCCATCTATCTTTTTCATATAATACTTGTCTGACTTTTAACAAAAGTTATTTCGAGTTGATCACAGATTGATATCAGTTAGAAAACCATTGAAAACCAGCGAGTACTGAACAGCTGTTGTTTCATCCTAGTTTGGGAATCATCAGCAGTAAGCACCCACTGCCAAGGTTCGAACACAGGACCTTCCTGTTACAAGGCAAGCTGGTATACCATTCAGCTACTGGGACCCAATTCAATGGCCAGCCTATGAATTCTAACTTATACCAATTCGTGATTTAGAGCGACCCCAACCAATGTCATCGGTGGGACATCCATCCTCACACTTGACATCTGGATGGACCTCACTGGTCACGACTTCTCACTCCAGGAAACTCCCTTCTGTAGCAAGTCACTCACTAGCGAGCATCAGATTAATTTTCTACAGTTGGTGGTTTGTAAGGATTAGATTTTTTTTCACGAGTTGATCACGAATTGGTAGAAGTTAGAATTCATGGGCTGGCCAGTGAATCGGGTCTCAGTGGCTGAATGGCAAACGAGCTTGCCTTGTAACAGGAAAATCCTGTGTTTGAACCCCAGTGAGTGCATACTGACGATGATTCCCAAACTAGGATGAAACAGATGTCCAGTACTTCATGGTTTTCAATGGTTCTCTAACTGATATCAATCCGTGATCAACTCGTAAAAACAAAACTAACCCTTACAAACCAAACTATAGAAAAGTTATTTCAAAACACAAAACTCAAGATTATGCAACTGCATGAACCATGTTTCCTATTCTTCTAGCCTTAAACAACATCCATGAGTGTTTCCATATCTTGTTGTGTATACTGTGTGCATTAGTTCTTCACGTGTGTACGTGTATTATTTGGTGACTAAAGAACAAACTTGGAAAGAATTCCTCATGTCTCAACTTTATTCATTTCCACATTTCGTTGACAAATGAATCATACGCTTAGGAAATGTAAACGACATTTGACAATGTGATGCATGAAAAGTTAGGGAAGCTAAATTCATAGTTGCCATTACAACAAAGTCAGTTATATGCGGGGACCAATGTAATTCATGATATATCATCGTTAAAAAGTGGACAGAATTCCACTGCTAAGGGCAACTATTTATTCTTGCACTTCTCCATATAGCCTAGACTCTGTTGGCTCCATTAAGCTCAAACAGAGTTGCTTAAAACTAAAGGTGATATACAGCCGCGTTACTTGAATTTCACTTACCACTTATACGTCACAACTACTGAAAAGCAGAAAGAAAGAGAAAACAGGCAACTGGCATTCAATGAACTGCCGAACACATCGATCCAGAAACCGAGTAGACTGATGAAGATTTTTCCAACTATTAGGCAATAAGAGAAAGTGAATTCTGTCATTCTACTTCTGTAACTTCACAGAAAAGATAGATCTCAAAAATGTCTAGCAAGTACAAGAGGAGGACAACAGCTACTAAATAAAGAAGACCGACTGAACAGTGTGGTGTCAGCTAATTATAAAACATATATAAGTAGTAAATGGAGCAATGTTTTCAGGAAACACAACAAGAAGGTTACAATTCTGACGAGAATCGAATGAGCACGAGACAATGAGAAACAAGGCAAGCATAATACACAAAGGATTATATTATTTGCAAATAGGGAAATCAACTTAAGGTTAATCATACTGTCAGTATCCGTTGTACTTTTTGTCCGAATAAACATTACATCTGCTTTCGCTAGTTCTATTTTCTTTAGTAGTAATATTAGTTCTAATAAACCTTCTACGAAGTAAATCAATTAATTTATTTACTAATTATTTATAATCGGATTAAATAGTTTTGACAACTGTCAATTCACTTATTCGTTGTGAAATTTAAAATTGTGAACTTCACGAATTCGACTGTAACACAGAATAAAACAAGGAAGTCACGAAGAATACTCATTCAAAGAGAATACTAGTGTTTTTTGAGGATGATGAGTGTGGAATAAGGCGGTCACTACTGAAACTGATAGAATGCCACTTAACAGAGTATCACTAATGCAAACCGGCAGGGAATATAAAGGAAAGCAAAGAGATAAATTCTGTTTTCAATTTAAAAAAGAGCGGACAAGAGACTAAGAGGAAAAAGAAAATAACTAGAAAAGGAAAGAGACAGGATAGCATACTTCAAGGGGAAACAAATGAAGATTACAAAATTTATTTTTAAAAAGTTTAGAAAAAAATCGAGTACACATTACACTGTGTTTAGCTCGGAACATCATCGACGCAAAGATGCCTTACTCACATACAAAATATTTTTCGATCAGATAAAAGATTTCGGTCAAGTTGTGTTGCCGTTATACAACTAGACGTTTTTGAAAAAGCGTTTCTTTGAGTGTAGTTTTTCTGCAGCCCGATTAGAAGATAACTATCACATTGGAAGTTGGAATCACTTTCAAAAACATTCTGATAATCATCATAAATTTCCGATAAACACAGTAGATTATATAATAAGGGAAGGGAAATAATAAACAACTTGAACAACTGGCATAAAGATGATTCGCCACTGTTAAATAAAAAAATTACTCTGATATGTAAAGTGAAAATGAAATGATGACGGGAATCACGTGACAAAATTCAAATCAGCAGCATCTCGGGGTCGCCTATACCGAAATCATTCTGAAAAGACCAAAACTTAAGGCAGTAATCAAGTAACACGCACGCACACACACACAGAGATCTTACATAACTTACAGAAGGTGAGTACTTTGTTGCATGTTCTATTCGTATTGGACGGCGTTGTTGTTGCTGTTGGAATTGTTTTTGTAGCACCGATTGACACTGTTCAGTCCTCTTAGTTAACAGCCTAAGCTCTTTATCTGGAACTGCAAATTTCATTCCTAAGGATGATGGACGATGTTTAGTAGAAGAAGAATGACCACTCTGTGTAAGAGAATATGAAAAAAGAAAAAAAGACAAGAAAACAATTCAAAACTAGGACAATAAACACTAATACATAGAGACATACATAACAGGAGATAAGTTGGAATCGTGTTATGTCAGTTTTGCAGGACTTTCGATTTAAATTAAGTGAAACAAAGAAAACAAAATGTTGCGGTTTGCGTTGAGCAAAAAATTAATTGGCTACTTATTAAGATTAAAAAGAATATATAAATACATACATATTTTTAAATTTTGCATCTCGTCCATGCATAATATTCCATTGGTTTATCCCATTTTTTATGGATAAAGTTATTATTGGCCCTTTCTAAATAATAAGAGAATTATTTCTTTTGTCTACTTTCTCATTTGTACAGTTTGATAAACGTAAAGTATAACCCATGTGGGCGGCTATGCGCGCTACAACATTGTACTATGTTTAATAACTATAGCTAAAAACACAAGAGCATAGTAGCCTATAGTGTAGCTCAACTTTAATGACTAAGTGAATTGGATCTGTCCACTGTCATTGAAACCGACTTACTACTTCGTTTGATGAAATAATCATCACTTCATACTACAAACAGAACATTTCTACAAACTACTTTCGCTTCACACTTATCTTAAACATTTCAACTCTGTTCATTGACGGTTGGTTGTTGACTTCGACACTCGATGATACAGGTATGTATCTTGTAGTGAAGATAAGTTTTTTCAAGGTTAAAGATTGTTTGTATCGAAGAGAGTCAACTAGCGGAAATGCGAGGTCTGTTGGGAATGACAGATTTTGTTTGAATTCTGTGATGGTAATGCTTTGTAGTGGATTATTAACGAAATTATAAGCATATTTGGTCATGAAGACATAGTTCAAAGAAGGGAAATGTCAGTAAACGTTAAAAATAATAGTAATAATAATAATTCACAACAGAACCTGTCTACGTTTGAAATGCAAAAATAAATTGACTGCTAACTTCTTCGATTCGTTTAATAGCACATCATCTTGGAAAAACAACAGTGTTTGTTGAATCTGTTTAGTCTAGAATTAGGACGAGACTGATACTATACACATAAGAGAAATATTTTGACAATTCTTTCACTGTCTGCTTAAAAATCATTTGTCAGGAATTATACGCTGGGAAAAAGAAATCGATAATGAAAAAGTATGCATTCACACGTGGCCTACACCTAAACAGAACAAAGCTGTTTTTAATTTTATTTTCCTGAACATAATTTCAGGCGAATACGACCGCACACACACGCACATGAAGTAAAAAAGATAACAGTGATAGTTTAACAAAAGTTTAGTACAAATTTAGTGCATATTTAGTAAAATATAGTAGACCTTACCCATAAATTATCAGTGTGACTTACACAGCAGGAATATCAGTGTGCCTGTGTCTATCTGCCTATATGGTTACAGGAAAGTGATTCTTAATCCACCCTCCCCCACTATCACATCCTACCCACCTGTTTACTATACCTTAAGCTACCGATAAGTGAGGAGAGATAAAAAAAAGACTATTAATATGTTTCAAAGCAGGTGATAAATATTGATGAAGTATGTAAAGCAAAAAGCATACAGACAATCTGATTTCCATAGAAGATAAGTTTATCTGATATAATGCACAGTTATACAGTATTAGTATTAATGACTGAAGGAAGTTTCGAGTGCAATTTAGTGCTCATAATCATATCAGTGTAATGCACAATTAATGCAATTTTCTTTATGTCAAGAATAGGTATTTCATCCTTTTGACTGTACATGTTCGGAGTTAATTCGATGAATAAGGATTCGGTGATCAACTTTTTTTCCCTCTCTTTCTCTCCATCTAACTCGATCACTTTGTAGCACTTTCCCCTGTCCCATCTTATTGTGTGATTACATGCAAGTAAATGCATGGCAATGGTTGGTTTTTTTCTAGATTATTTAACTTAGTAGGGTCAATCTTTCTACCTCTAGCTAAATTTCTTTTCTTCAATAACCTAACTGAACCGGATCTACAAATGTAACCCATATGATTAACCTCAGTCATTACATAGTATTTGATAGACTACATTATTTTCCTCAATAGGACATGTTGGGTAGGTCCTTGAACCTACAAAATTTGTCTCTGCATAAGTTGGATGATTTAGATGTCAACCTAATTTCAGCCTTATTAGGAATCCGATGTAGGACTTCTGACGTTTCTTCTTTAAGTAGAAGTAATGTCGTAGCCTTTGAATTCCTTACTATTATTATTATTATTATTAATGATTGCAATTACTACTTTTATTTTCCTTATAGGTCTTCCTACATTTAAAAAAAAAAATTTAGTAGATACTTAGTTATTTTCCAGAAGTGTCTTGCTTTTATTTGTTAGTTATGACTTCTTAATGATAAAGTAACGGAATAGGTGTACCATGAAATTGTGAACTTTGAAGTAAGTCCCATTTCAAACGTTGGTCCGGCACCAAAAAAAAACTCCCTTGAAACTACTACAAAATGTACTGTGTCACCGATCGCCAAAGGAGTTCCATGAGATTTTCACAAAAGATCTTAACGTCACCCATTTAAGAAATGGGATGGAGTGATAAATGTCAATCAATCTGCTAAATGTATTCCACAACTCCACGCTAACAACTATGCAATCTCTGAATAATAAACAAATACCACAGTGTTCAAACTACGATTCTTTGTATACAGTTTGAGTAAAAATAAGAAGCGTAAGGCAAAGAAAGATTAAATCTTGAGTTATTTGTCAGTGAATTTCGAAACTGTATACATAACTTCAAATTTGTAAGTATATGATTCCATGTTATCATATATTAAGTAATGTTCACCTAAACAAACATCATCCTTTTTTGCTGGACGAATTCACTCCCTGAACTTCTCTACCACAACATTAGACAAACAAGTAATAAAAATGCGGTATTATTTTATGATTGTGTGGGGTACAGAGAAAAACTACTCCAGGTTTGATGAAGTAAGCCAAAGAGAGGAGTCATGGACATTGGCTGATTTTATACAGTTTCTGAAACAGTTACGCAAAATGAATATACTTCAACTGATCAATAAGGTCATACACCAGTGTCTTTAGGGGGAATATTAAATATGGAGAAAAATTGTTTATTACTAGGCATTAACAATGGCATTATTAATTCGTGCTATTTTGTTTTTCAACATGTCCGTATTCATTCACAGTGAAAATAAAACACCAGAGATGCATAATTCACAAAGTAATACACACATACACACACGTATGCACATAATTAGTCTATTACTTATAACTTGAGAGGTATTTCGATACAATAAAAGTTCTAAATGTAGGACAAAAATAATTTATATATTCTCAAATTTGAATACTATTTGATTGAAAATTTTAACAGTAACAGACCATAGATTATAATAATATTGATGAGGTAGATAGATAGAAAAGGCAGAAAAACAGAGAGGAGGCAAATGACAGCTAGGTGACAAATGATGACAGATGATGAAATATATGTATGTAGGGTTCATTATATTTTTATATCAGCTGAAACAACAGACAAGGCACTAAAGTAATTCGAAATGACTATTCACTGTGTATATTAGCCAATCAAGAATACAAACTTATCATATTTTTGTACTAGCAGACGACAGGTTAGAAATATACACTTGACGTGGGAAATGACATTCAATCATAAGCAAAACAACAAATTCCAGTTGCTCTCACCTAAATGAAGTATTACTTTTAAAAAAAAAATAAGAACTAGGATGGAGTAGAATGAAAACGAAAAAGTGACATCATTCCAGTTGTTTAATGTCATTACAATAGACATGTTGGTGGTGTAGATTACCATGGAATGTAAACTTGACTCTAAAATAATGCAGAAGATTTGTAGCTCAGCTGGATGATATTGAATTAGTTGTATTCTCTGAGTTGGTGGATTTAACTGCGAAGCCTTTGTCGCCCATCTACACAACATCTTCAGCTCAGGTTTGAGTATAGAATGAACTTATTTGTATCCTGGCAACTATTGTCAACATCCAGTCATGACAACGGTCACCATGATAAACCATTATACCATTCATGGAGAATACAATTAAGTTCATTCCATATTCAAACTTGAGCTGAAGATGTTATCTAGAAGGACGACGAAAGCTTCGCAGTTAAATCAATTAGCTCAGAGAATTAAACTAATTCAAAAGATGACTCTATTGTTCCTTTCAAACTTGATTTTCTGACCTTATTTTGATCAAAGCTAAGTAAAAGGTTTCAGAATTAGTCTATGTAAGTACATGAAAATTGAGAGATAGGAATTATTCAACTGTCACCAATCATGTCTTCTATTCCTGTAGCTGTAAACGACATTCATGTGTATTTCCATATCTTTTTGTGTATATTATTCACTGGTCGTTCACATGTTGAAACGTATTTACTTGTTGATTGAAATACAGACTAGAAAACATTTCCTCGTGTCTCATCTCCATTCAAATGTGCGACGCTTGATAATGATAAAAATTTAATAATCTAACGCTTGCTTGAGACTGGCTACAGGATGAAGTTATGTAGGGTTCTAGTGAGAAATAGTGACCAGTGCAGTTCATCACGTTTTGAATTATTCTCTAACTGAAATCAATCCGTACGTAGTCAAACTCGAAAAAAAATCAAATCCCCACGGACTAACACTTGAAAATAAGAATGAAAAGTTGTAATTACATGACAGTATGAAAACTGTAGAATTACACTGTTGTCTCACTAACGTGTTGACAATCTATCTACATTCCCGTCTTCATTGTTTCTGTTTCAAAGTATCAAGCTAAACACTGATGCGCTTCTTAGGTAACCATCGTGCCGGTCTTTCTGTCAGTAAGTCGTTCCGGGTGACAGTATCACTCCCTAAGACGGAATTGGAAAAATATACTCATGTCATACTGTTCAGTAGTGAGCAGAGGCTAACTTTTTTCATGTAGGAAGTCTCATTTCTAGCGGTGTTACCTTTACTTTATGAGTTAATACAGGTATTTAATAATATTAATTATT